GTTCAGGGAAGTCTCCCCCATTCCTCAAACAGATTTGTTCCCCAAACCATCACAGTCTGGCCTCACCTAAACTTTCTCTTGCTGAGATCTCTTGTGGCTTTTCTGTTAAGCCAGGCAGTAGCCTTCCCGTCCTTGCTGTGTTTGATCTCTGGATCGTAATTTGGCCACTCGATACTCCCCGAAACACTCTCTGCTTTGAATGTAGTACATCACACCCTTCTGGTTTTTCTTCTGCCTCCTTGGCCTCTGGTCTCAATTATAGTTTTTTGTTTTGTTTTGTTTTGTTTTTCCTTTTCCTAACCCTCAAAAGTTAGTGTTCACAGAGTTCTCTCTTCTTCCCTTTTGATGAGATAGAGAATTGACACGACAGAAAACATAATGAATATTGTATTGGTTGATGTTCTTTAAGCAGTAGAAACTGACTGAAGGTAGATTCAGGGGGAAAAAAAAGAGAGAGCTGACCAGTCTACCTCAGAGGAAGGGCTTAAGAATCAAAGGCAAGAATGCCACCATCAGGATTGTGTGCCTTTTTCTAGGGTGCCACGCTTGGTTCAGTTCCAACAGCCTCATGTCTTTAGCTCTCGGTCCCTCCCAGGTCTTTTGCCTTATAAATCTTATGTGTTCTCTTAGACTCCCAAGGGAAATACTAATTCCTCTATGTGAAGTCTGTCCTTATTCCTTAAAGAATTGCTGGTTGCACCCATCTTGGAGCTAGAATTGTACCAAATATGTATGCCTATTATTTTACTAAAAGACGATAGTGCAGTTATTGTGGTCATGTGGTTTTTTTCTCCTTCCTCTAGGCGAAGAGAAATTTATGGGAAAGGGCAGTGAATTGTTTACGTAGCCACAGAGCCTATCTAACCCTTCTCAGTTCTTCTAGATTTTCCTCCCTAGTTCTTTAGTTTTTCAGGTCTTGGTCGAAATAGAGTTTAGAAATTTAGGAAGTCATGAATTCACAGGTCACAAAGTACAATTAATGTGATACATACACAAACACATGTGACTTGGCTTTAATTAGTATCCCTAAATAGAAGGAAAACCATGTGGAGGTACCAGTTTGTACAAGTATATTTTATGACAAAAATCCTTCCCGATCCCATATTACACTAAATATTATGTATATAAGTATACTTACACTTCATGTTTAAGTTTTTCTCTTCCTGTATATTAAATTTGACAGAATTTTAAACAAAGCCTAAAAAACCATTTTGTGCTTTTCATTACATGTTAGCAAAGATGACAAGTAATGTTGACATTTTATTATGAAGAAGATACGTTGGCTTTATATTTAAGATAAGAAATCATAAAATGTGTTGTCATGCTAAGTGACCAGACATTTAAAGTGTCAGTGACAAAAATAAACTAGAAGGAGATGAAATGTGTATAGAAAGGTTAAGAGAAATGCATATCAAAAAGCAAGCTTCTTTGCTAAATAATAGAAGAAGCTGTTTTGTACAGAGCTGTGATTTAATTTAGATGTGAACCTAGAATACAGAAGAATCCTGGGTAAGTTTTTGTATCTGTTACATATTTTGATTATCATACCATCAACATCAGACACGCCTCTGAACACGAACTAAGTCCTATTGAAGTAAAACTGCTTATCATGAAATAAAAGTCTTCAAGCACTTACTTGTAAAAATCTTATGAAGGAAAACTGTATTTATGTACTAGTTAGGATACTTCCAAATGCTGTAACAAACAAATGACAACATTTCAGTCGTTCAAAACAATAGTACCGACATAACAGTTTACTATGTGTTCCTGACAGATGGGTAGATTTCCTTGTTTTTATGGCTCTGTCATTTTCTAGAGCACTGTTCTCCGCATGTGGCTAGCAGATGGGTACAGAGGGATAAAGAAGGCATACTTATATCTTGATCATTTTCCCTAGAGCAACGCATGAGTTCTCTGAATATTCCATTAGCTAGAACTTTCATATGCCCCTACTTATATGCAGGGGGAGCTAGAAAATACAGTCCTTGCCTGACTAGCTGCTTCTTAGCAACAGCTCTGTGCTAGTGGACGCGTGAATCCTGCTGGACAGCTCTGTGATCTGGCATAGTTCACCCCTACAGTCAAGGTTAACCAAATAACAGTTGTGCTACCCTTCCCCCTATGCACAGATCACAGTCACTTCAACTCAAGGGAAAGAACTCAACGTCTTATCATGTCCTTACGTCCAATCCAAAGTCCAACCTCCCCACTAGGTCCCGCTGTGGCTCTTTGCAACCTGGTGACCTGTGCACTAAAGTGACCTGTGCTGACTGCCCTCTGCTCCACCTCCCCTCCCTTCCCCTCCCCGCCCTGCCCTGGCACAAATCTAACACACAGCCATGGAGCTGGGGCAAGAGAGTGACAGTTAAGTTCCCATTTAAATGAAGGTGAAGTGGTAAATCCACAGCAATAATTGTCTAATGACAACAGTGGAATCTTGTCGTGGCAGGTGCTGTAAAGACACCCTGCCCCGACAACGTTTTGAGTCTCTTGGTTAGACCCTGATGGTGAATCTGCAAAGAACTCCTTTTTCCTTTATTCTCCCCAGCCCTTTGGGCTGCCTACACTGTGAGCTGCTTCCTTGGCTAAATCATCTGTGGCGAAATCACTTAAAGGAGTATGACCACTTTCTGTTGCGCAATTTGGGAACCTGGAAACTATTTTACAGGCAATATTTAAGAGTAAGTTCAGGGCTTATTCACCAATATAGCTTTTTTTTAAAATAGATTTAAAAACAATAGAAATAAAAGTTTTGTTATCTGTGAGCCTCTGTTTGTTACATGTGCCAGTGTTCACATCTTTATCCATCAGGGTCCGTCCAGAAAAACAGAGACAATTCCAGATCTTTCAATTGGAGGAAATTTAACACAAAAAATTAGCTACACATGTGCTGGAACACAGAAGCCAAACAAATGATGGTGAATGAACCCAGAGACTAATGAAATCAGAAAACTGCTGCACACCCCAGGGATAGAAGGGCAATGCGGAGAAGTGATATTACCAGATATTATCTGAGCTCTTGGGTCTGATAAGAGGAGACTGTGAGCTCCTGGAGTGATCTGAGCCATTTATGTTTTCCTCATCTTTGTGTGTCTCCACATAGTGAGCACTCCAATGTTTGTTTACTTGGACAGAGATAAGCAGTAAATCGTTCCACTGCCTTCATTTAGAAGTACCCATCAGAGAACTACAATGTGGCAGAAATGATGGCCCTAAACACTGGGATGACCCTTAATTTTTGGATCAGCTACAGTTAATTATTTTGAAACCCTAATTAATTAACCCATCATTGGCATTTAGAGAATGAGAAATTGTCAGAAGTTTTAATTTAAATATTCTCTTCCCCTGTAAGACTTTTAGAGTTTGGAACAAAACCAACTTTTGTACAAACATAGAAGGAAGAATTAAAAAGGAATAAAGTCTGTAGGTGGCTCATGCCCAAATACATTTTTTAAAAAAAGTGGGGGGGTGGGACAGTGTAGGGAAAAAGAGAAAAAGCTTTCCAGAATTGCTGGGGAAGTAGCAGCTATAGCTGCAGAGGATATGTAGCTCTATCTTAGCCTTTGATTCTTATTTGGAATCACCTTTTAAGTTGATAATGACATTCCTTTGTCTACTGGTTGAAGCCAAAAATTATCAGCTTACTTTCATTTGCTGTTATTTAAGAAAGAACCTGTAAAGTGTTCCATTGGATGTCTTAGCAGTCAAAAAGATCTAATTCTAGAATATGATCATAATTTTTGAAAACAACATAAATGCCATTTAGTCTGTTCTTGGATGTGCCTTTATATGCTTAAGTGTACAGATATGCTGGATTTAATTTAGCTATGGCTTTTAGAGTAGGCTTGAGAAAAGTCTCAAAATAGTAGATACATTTAACAACTTGGAATTTGAGAATAGTTTGAGAAGCTTTTTTGTCTACTTTGCCTTTCCTAGAGAGAAAACGAGCTTTGCTTGAAGATTTCTCAGCAAAAATTTCCACTTATACATGGAAATCAAGGGTTTCTTGGGGGGGAGGGGCAGAGAGGGGACTATATCAAATTCAGTTGATATAAAAACATTTTAGCATACCTGAACATGTTATAATTTTTCCATTTACATAGAAATTTCAGGCTTCTTTACTTTTCATTGGTTTAAAATAAGAATTGCTTGAAATACAATGCACTGCATTGCTTATCTTTATTTTATCCCTCAGAATATAGTGGTCCCATTTAAAAATATCCATTAAGGTTTGGATGTTGGGTGTGTCTAAATAGTGTCATGATGGACTCTAAAGGAGAAAATACATTGTTTTATCTATATGGTACGTAACATCTGAAGAGTAAGCTTTTCGTTCCTGTGTTGGCTTTGTGGAGCTGTATAGTGTGAAATAATCACTTGGTAATTTGCCAGTATAACTAAAAATAATTACTTTGTTTCAGTCATTATAACATTTTTATAGTTTTGAAAACATGGAGCCAGGGAGAAAATTATTCTTTGGTATAGATCTAGAGCAGAAAATGTGCTATGATCCATCTTTTCCATCTCTAATTGAGTTGATTTTCTTTAATACTGTTCTACAGTGAAAATATTAAAACATTAGGTGTATTTTTGCTGGTTAAAATAATTGTTTTGGCTTTTAAAACATGCTCTCTGTAATTTCAAAGAATATTTCTTTCTGAACTTTTTTGCCCTGAGAAGTTTAAAGTATTCTTGAAATTATACGTGTGTATTGAGTATTTTTCAACCATCAATTCAACTGTAGTCCTTATGCTATTAACTTATTATGCAGTAACACAGGAAGAAAATTTATGTGATAAAATGAAAAAACATATTGGTCAGAAAAATAAATGAGTCTATATTGAAAACCCAGCTGCTGTAGTGGGCGTGAAATGGTTTGTTAGACACGTTTTGGCGTTGACACCTTCTTTTCAAACAGGAAAACGTATGGAAGATTTTGACTCCAGTTCTTAGACACTCTGTATTGTCTACTTAAATGTTTTCTTTTTTGTCTCCTACAGGTGATATTATATCCAACTTCTAATAGCTCCAAATCGGCTGACTTTCACCGAATGATAGTTCCAAAAAACAGCCAGGATTCTGACTTAAAAATCAAATTGGCAGTGCGAATGGATAAACCGCCACATATGAAACACAGTGGGTGAGTGTGTACTTGAAGTTGTTTTGCTGCTGAATTATTGCATTTCATTTCAGTGTATCACTTTTGTCAGTTTACTGAGAGAGCCAGTATATCAGGCTTTCACATGGAGTTTTCCCCAAAAAATGACATGTGCATATTAACTCACTTTTTTAAAACTGTAGACATCTTTGTAGCTAAGTACATGGGTATTTAGTTAATATAACTGTTTGCATGCTAACATAATACTGGTACTTGATTACACTGGTATTGGACATCATTTAGATTGATAAAGAACAGTGATATACGGAGACAGCTTCTAAGAAATATTTTCCAGAATACAGCAATCGTTTAAACAAGTCTAGCATTTGGGTCCCTGGAAAGAAACTTACATAGAATGCATTAAAGCTCAAAGGTGGTTCAGATATCACCCAGGAGGCTGTATACGTTTTGATGAGGGATGTGAGTGTCCCTCCAATGTCTGAATGAAAAACGAAAACAATACCAGAGGAAACTGCTGCTGGCGGATACGCCAGAAGTCCAGGGACTGTCTCCCGGGGACTGCCGTGAGGCCGAGCCAAGCTTCGTCTCTGCCAAAACTCTTTTTCCAGTGTAGCTGGTGAGGTAACAGGTCTGAACTTTTGAGTACAATAAAATGCATTTTTTTAGAAAAACCCAGGTCTTTCTCAGATCATACTGCAGTTAGGATGAGGCTAAGGACCATATTGCTGCCTTGGTTTGGTGGGCCGTGTATGCAGACTCAGAACCACTCTCGCTGAGGGAAAAGCACCTCAGAGGGGGGCTCTTAGAGAGGGAACAGTGATGTGGGCAGTCCACGTCTTTAATGGAGGAACGCAAAGTGAAGACACACTGTGACAGCTCATAATGCAGGTGGAGATCCTGAGACTTATACATAGAGCTCTTCCTTTCACCCATCTACCTGCTCACCATTGATTTATGTGGCAGACTACATGTATTGAGCACTTACTCTGTTCCAACCAGAGCAAACCTCAGTAAGAGACCGCACCAGGCCGGAAGGAGCTGGCTAACCAGGGACCCGGCTTATATAGAAATGATTATAACACTGAGTAATGTGTGCTATGAGAGAGGAATGGGTGCTGGTGGAAATAACACATGATTCCAGCGGGAGTGAGCCATGAAAGTCGCACAAGACCGCTGACTTCTGAGATGAAAACTGAAGTATGAATTCAGCAGGTGGACGGTAGGGAGGAAGGACATTCCACTTACATGACACAGCACATATATGGACAGGAGTCCTGGATGACAACGATGATAAGTTTGGTGCAACTGGCGGGGTGCTTTGAGGCTACAGAGAGTATTGCTGCTCTGATGCAGTTAGAGCTTAGTCAAGACTGTTCTGCTAGTGCTTGGAGACTAGTAGAACCTAGCGTTAGATATATGTTCCAGGCACTGCAGTTATCTGTCTCCTGTTTCTAACTCACTCTCTTTATTTTAATGAATGACACAAGAAATGGGAACCTAGGTATTATAACGCCAGGAGAGCCCTTAATTTATGCACGGCCAACACCATGTGAATACATAGAGTCTTCACATTGTCCCAGGAAACAAGAGTCAAGATGGAATTGGGCACGTGGCATGTTCGGCGGCCTTTAGCCTCTGTGGAAAGAGAGCCCTGCTCCAATCCTTGGCAGTGTCTTGCTTTAGAACCACCCAGGGAAGGGGGGACGATCCAGCCCCTTCCAAGACTTGATTATTTTTGTTTGTTTCTTTTTTGTTGTTTTGCCCTGTGGGAGAATTGCTTTGTATCACATCACATCACTGCCCTTTGACTTAATCGGAGCCCCCAGAATGGCGCTGGAGCTGACTTCTACCCAAGACTTCAAGTGAAGGGGATTGCTAAGTAGAGTGTATCGTGTCTCAGTTTAATCTGTAAAGCTCAAGATCTCACCTTGGATTCAGATCAGGAATGCGTCAAATCGCAGCTACATCAATCGTTTTCTACCATTTCTAAAAATTCCTAACAGGCATTTCCAGACATTGAGTTATCTCTGTAGTTTACGGTATATAAAAGGAAGGAATTCTAGAATTCCTGTTCTGCTAGCTGGTGTGTGATATAGCATACTTAAGAATATCATAGTTTTAAAAATTCTTTGAAATTATTCTGGTATTGGACATAATAATAATGATGAACCAGAATTAAAAGTTTTCAGCATTGCTGTAAAAGCAGTTTGTCCCTATGGGAAGGGCCTATCCTCCAAGTGCTTTCCTACAAGTTCAAGTTTCTCAGTGACTGTACGGTAAATTTTAAATATTCTTCTTATCACCCCTGCGTATAGATGTATGTGGGAAAACAGGACTTGACCTACCTCATAACTAGATTCATCTTTTTCTGAGGTGCTTCGTAATGGATTTTACTGAACTTAATTACATTTAAGTAGAGAAAGTCAACTGGTCTATGATATAGCACTCTCATATGCCAAACCAATAATATGAGTACATAGTAGATTAATAGCATTTTGCTGTGGGGCTGGATTGTGCTCTATCAGTAATTCATTGTATAATGGAATATTAACAGATGAATAACTGAAAAAAGAGACAAGTTAAAAAAAGATTAATTTACCTATAAAATATAGCAAACTCCTTATAGATAGAGTTGTCAAGTGGATTAAACAGTACATTAGAGGGTTATGGATTTCCATCTTCAGAGCACTTTTGAAAACTAGACTTTGAAATCCTTTGGGACTTTAGTCATAAAAAACAATTTTAACATGTATTCTCTGTTTTGTTCATTTATCACATAAGTGGCCCCTGCATTGCCCCTAAATAAATATATTTTATCAATGTTATATGTATTTTTATGTGTTCCCAACTAGGCGGTGAGTTTCTTAGACCTATTTGTACCCCCCATTCCTCCCACAGCGTGCAATCAAGGATAGATAATAATGATGATGAAATGATAATCAAATGCTCCGTAGAGTTTTAAAGGAAAAGTAATAAGAATGACAGTAAGCTGCATCCATAAATTGAAATTTAGAGCGTTCTAAACACAATTTATAGGGAATAGAGTAGAATTTTAATGTGAAAAGTACCTAAAATAAATAAATGGTATTTGGTCCTCAACTGTTGCCTTTTAAAAAACGACCTTTTTTAAAGCAGAAAGAAAAATATATCTGATATAAAGCTCATGTTCCTGATAACTGATCAGTCCATGACTACATTATGCCTTTAAAAATAGGATTGACTACATGCAAATGAAAATTGATACTTAATTTGGATAAAATAAACATAACGATGATTTCTTTCTTTTAAAACCAAATTGGACATTACAACAAGACATATTTGGTATAAAAATACAAATGGGGTTCACTTATTCTTTTAGAGTATGTCTTATAAACTAATTATGTAAACGAACTCATATAAATGTATAAAATGAACTAGCAGCTAGATTTTGCATGATTACATAATTCATATGCAGTCTCTGAATTTGTTTGCTTTTTGGGGTGTTGAAGAGTGTTCTTGAACAAATGGACTGTCCTTTAGCATAGCCTAGTGGCTGAGTAACAGCATTAAGTTAAATCTCAGAAACACTATCCCCTTTATTATTAAATAACATTTCCCTGGTTCAGATGATATTTTCTGAACCCAAAGAAAGGCAAAATAAAATGGAACTAGTAAAACATAATGACTATTATGACAATAAATCTATTATTGAAAAGGGGAAAGAAGAAAATTAAATTAGTTGTTACAAATATGTGGTGGCACTATGATGCCCAGACTCTATCAGAAATCTGTGGGCAACTGCTTACTTTATAGTTCAAAATGAAAACTTCATGAGTATATAACTATAGAAGAGTTTTGTCACAGTTAAGAATTGGGGAGATGAAACTGTAGCCACATCATTTGTCACATAAATCTTATTTTTCTCTTTGTGTAGTCATGCTTGGCTATTTAAGCATTTGTTGAATGAATATATGTATTGAAATATTTTGTAATTGTCACATATAAAGTCTCCATTTAGTTTACATCGTAAAGATGTCAAAGGCGCTGGGACCACCTCTTGCTGCAGGGGAGAGACAACAATTCAGCTTCCAGCCGGAGGCACAGGATAAGCACTGACCTTCCTGCGTTGTTGTCCCCTGCGTCCCCACAGAGAGGGCCAGCTGAGCATGGAGGGCTGAGCTGCCATGCCTATGGAAGTTTTTAGCCGTATACTTAACATTCATACATGGCATTTGCTTATATAGTGAAATGAATGCACGCTAATAAAGTTACATTATTGTGTTTCTGATTGAAGGTTTATGATCTTCAACTAGAGGACAGTCTGGTGACCAAAGAGAGGGAAGACTTATTTTGTCAAGGTAGTATTTGCTTGGAGGGTCCAGGCCTTCCAGAAAGTATGAGTCTGTTTATTCCGATAAAAAATTGGTTTCTCCTTTTAAATCAATTAGGGTGACTTTCCTACAAGTCCTTGTCTATAAAGTAACCATGTTTTGCCATCTGACCTTCACCTAACACTATATATAGGCCTGTTTGCATTCCCAGTTTGAATTTACCTCATTTTGTCTTACCTTGATTTCATAGACATCCCACTCTTACTGCCTTGCCAAAACTTCGAACAACATGTTTGCTAGGTTCTTAATACATAATTGATTCTTTTTCCAAGTACAATTTTCAGAAAAGAGGTCTGTCTGTGGTACTGTGTAAACATTGATGTAATCATTGTAGAATGCTGAAAAGAAGTCATAAAGCCAACTTTCTTTTTCCAAATTCCTTAATATTTAGCTCATTTTCTCTAGGGTAATTTAAATCATTAGCAAGTTTTTTCATTTTAATTTACTAGTTAATTATGTAATAATGATAGAAATATTTTCAAATATAGCTTTAATGATCAGTAAACTAGATGTCTTAACTTCTACTCCTTTGAAAAACTACTCTAATTTCTCCTGTAATAAATTAGTCTTTCACTTTAAGCTTAAATGTGGCTTTCCAATCAACACTCTTTTACTCTCAAGATTTTTCCCCAGGGGAATAACATCTTAACATTGTTTTCTTAACTCTTCATGCATCCAATCAATAATTGCTTTCTTTTGCTTTTAAACACTCCTCAGTGTCACATCTGAGCATCTTAAAGTTACAAAAGCACTTTAGGCCAAATAATTAAAGTTGGAATATGAGGCCCTTTTTTCTTTATTTGTCAACCGTGGACCATATTAATAGGTAGTTGTAATTAACTTGAGGCACTTTAAAACAAATTATAGTGAAAACTATTTAGGAATACTATAAAATTGTATAAATAGTTCATGTACAGAATTATAGAACAGGTTCGTTTTCTTAATTGATGCCTTGCTATAAAATGTAGTATATACTGACACAGGGATACTTTTTATTCCTTTACACATAGAAGTTTGAAAATATTAAGACGAAGTTAATAAAGCAAAAATTTTGGGCTTGTCTTAAGTGCCTGAGCATTGTGGGAGGTCAAGAAAAATTTGGACATTAAGATATTTATATTTAGCTCATTCCTCTGACATATGCAGCTGCATAATGGCACAGATGGAGTCAATGCAGTAATATTGGGTTGTCAGAAAAGTCATGACGAGGGTCGGCCGAGTGGCTCAGTTGGTTAAGAGCTCGCTCACGAGTTTGAGCTCTGAGCAACAGCGGTTCGATGCCCGGCCCGAGCTGAGCAGCCGCTGAGCTGCCAACAGGTGGCAGGATGGCTCAGCTAAAAAAAAATTTAAAAATAAAAAAAAAAGTCATGACGCATTTTTGCGACAAAAAACAGAAAAAATATGTCCTGACTTTTCCGACAACCCAATAGTTATGTAGAATAAGCACTAGTTTAAGAGCCAAGACATTTGTGTTTTGGTCCCAGTTCTGTCACTCACTTGGGTAAGCCGCTGCCTCTTCTTGGCCCCGGTTTCCTCAGTTGCTGAAGGAGACACTGGGCTAGAAAATGTAAATGGTTCCTTAGTTCCCCAGAGATTGATGGGTCAACAAATCATTTTCTCCCTCACCTCTCCAGGGGCCTGTCCCACTCATTCCACAGCATGGCTCCCATATAGAGGGTATACAGAGTTTGGGGAGAAGTGGTAGAAGTGGGTGCAACCTGGAGAGAGATGACAGATTTGGCTATTTATTTGAATCTTCTCAAAGGCAAAAGGAAATATGAAGACTGACTGAAACAATAGGCTTCTTTATGTAAGATGAATTTGAAAAATACGTATTTTAGAATTGTTTATATTCTGATAGTATTAAACAGATGCATATAAAAACTCAGAAGGCAAATACGCTGAACATGCTAAGTAGCATAATGCAACTATGGGTAAAATTGTCTTTTCTCTCTATTTTCCAGATTTTCTGTGATGTAGTTATACTACTTTTATGACAAAAGGATGCAGTTATCCAACTAATATATAAAACAGCATATAGATTTTTTAAATTGAAAACAGTCACATTTGTTTTCCCAAAAATATGATTATTGGGGAAATTTATTTGAAAAGATTCCATAAGGTGAGCCTTGAAGAAGGGCTCCTGTCCCTCCAGCATTTCAAGGAGCAGCATGGTTTAGGAATGTGAGCTCTGGAGCCAGACTGCCTGTCTCCAATCCTGGCTTCACGACTCAGTAGCTATAAGCTCTTGGAAATGTTAGGAAACCTCATCTGCAACCTGAAAATGTTAGTAGAACCTATGTCATAGGATTGCTTGGAGGAGCAGTTTTTTAATATGTGTAATGTGCTTATAGGAGTGGCTGGTAGCTCACAGTAACACTCAACATGTTTTAGCTTTGATAAAACCCTAAAAAAGGTTTATCTTTGAGTTGAGATACTAGTAAAAGAAGGAAAAGTAAACACAAGTATTTAAAATATGAGACAGAGCAAAAAGCACTTAAAAAAAAAAAGGTACAGTTTCCATCTCACACCCACCTCTGACCCCTTTCTCTCTTGTTCCTTCTCCAGCACCCCTGAGGCTGCTGGGGAGCAGTAGAGAACCTGGGCTTGGAGACCTGGGCCCTGCCCCACTCTGCCTCGGGTCCTCCGGGTCTGTAGTACTGCCTCCTTAGTGTCTCCCTCTGTAAAGCAACAGAGTGAGCTCACTAAGTGATCTTTAGGTTTCTTCCAGCTCTGAAATCTATTCCTTTAAATTTTTTATTTTACACCTAAAACAGATCTCGCTTAAGGAAAGCTAGATAGAAATGTTCATCTTCCTGAACAGGGTGAGAAAAGTTAAGCGATTTTCAAGCCACATTATTCTTTTCAAGTATATCTCCATAAATAGGAAGCAAGATACAGACTAGTTAAGAACGCAGGCTTTGGAGTTAGAGCTGGGTTCAGACTCTAGCCCTGTCATTTTTTTATGCAAACTTGGTCAAGTTATGTAACTTCTCATAGCCTCGCTTTTCTCAGTCATCAAATTGGATTGTCCTGATGTGAAATGAGATATACTCAAAGAGTGTGTAGCTGAGTGCCGGTTACATTGCAAGTGCTCACATAACTAAGAACAATCATTATTAGACGTTATTTTTAAAAGCTCATAGTCCCATGAACTATGAAAACCTGATTTTAACCACATCATTTGATTTGATTCAGAAGAAAATGTTCAAAGACAGATGGGAAAACAGCAGTGTACAAAGCCTCACTAATTTCTTGAGAGTATAAGAGCTATAGCTCCCAGTAGGGCCCTCGGCTTAATTGTTAGGCTTTAATTTATGGTTTCATTTGAGAGCTTATTATGGATGTGTAGGTAGCGGCGGTGGTGGTGGTGGTAGTTTGTTTTTCTTTGTGTGCCTGTGTGTGTTTTGCTGCTAACTTTATTTTCTCTTCTCTATGTCCAAAGGGAGAAAAATGAAAATATTACATAAGAGCTCCCAACCGTGTCAGAGGAGCTGACATGAATGATTTATCTAAGAGATAAGCTCAGGGTCTCGAAAGGAACACCTGGAGCTCATTTCACAGCAAGTGAGAAGAATAAGATAGAACTTCTCCCTTTATTTTAGCCCGGTGCAGTCTAACTTATATTAAAAATGGTAAATGCTTTCAAAGCATGATTTTTAAATAACCAGTGGTGTCTTTTGTATGTTTAGTGTAATTGCTAGGTTTAGTTTTTTTGCCTAAATATTAAACAAGTATTACTTGATCCTACGTAGCTCTACACAGTCTCTCAGGTTTCTAGTTGCAGGATTAAAATCTGTCCATTTTTAATAACTTGTTGATCTCAATAATGTCTACATACAAAATGCGCTAGTTTTAATTTCATCTCAGCTAAGTTTTGTACGTGCTTCGTTTAAGGAGGAATTGGTAAGCTTAATCAATGCTGACTGACTCAAACACTTTTATTTTGTAGTTACCACAGCACCCAAGACATTCATATAATTGAATCTTTGGCCTAATTATATACGTAATGTTTTATGAGAATAATCTCTGGGAGAGATTGTGTCATTGAGATTGGGATTCTGTGGCTGCTGCGTGAACATTCTCAGCTGGTTCCTGGTGTAGGACGTTGGTTGCTGCTGATGCTGTTAGAGAACGCGCTTACCGCACATCCGCTCCACTCACTCCTGTCAGGGCTCTGATTGGCTGGCATGGCTCCATAGAGGCCCACCACCCTACATAGCTTAGTGCCTTTCACTCCTCACCCACTCCCAGCTTTTCTCTTTCCAGCTGCTTCGTTTTTCAAAGCTTTTATCAGTACCTGGTATTCTATTTATTGGCTACTGTTTATTGACTCTCACCAACTAGAATTTTGTCTCCGTTTAGGTGATTTGCTGTTGACTAGCTCTCCAACCAAATGTAATTTCCAGAGGATAGGAACCTTGTCTTACCTACCACTTGGTAGAAGCTAAATAGATGTTTGTTGAATGAATGAGTGAATGAATGTTTTCTTCTTTGAAGAAAGAACAGAATGCAGAACTTACTTTCACAGCCCTTTCGTATTCAGAATAAGAGTTGGGTTCATTATTTAGATATAAATTTCAAATTATGGCATTAGCTAAGTGGTGGCACAGGGATGTAAGTTTGTTGGAGTATGCTTCAAAATATTGCCCCAGAGGAGCGACAGTAAGTTTCATTAGTCCAAAAATTTCTATATGACTAGAAATCTAAAGGCTCAACTCTGGAAAAATGTATTCTTGCCCAAAAACTTCAAAGTCGTTATTCTCAACAGTGAGGCTTGCTTTTTTTAATTGCTCTTTGCCTAACTATGAAGGAGAAAGTAAATTTCTAATATTTTCTATTATCTGTCAACATTTGTATTTAGACCATGCCTGTGATATGTGGTTGAACTGTAGGAAGAAGTTGTAGCAATGTTTTTTGCGGGTGGGAGCACACCCCAGGGTTCATTTACAAGCGTGACGTATTATATAACCAATACTTATTACAGGCGAAAATGAAAGCGAGATCAGAGTTTTGTTCATACGATTTTTGTGGAATCAAAAAGTCATTTACTTTCTTTCTCCTACAGTGATTCCTGATTTGAAATAATCATATTTATTTTAGCATTTATTTTGTCAATTCTATGTAATGAACGATTTTACTCCATTGAGATAGGCACAAAAAAATTCATGAAAAGATTCTCCTCAACAACTAACAAAGAAGAAGGAGGCAAAATTTAAAAGGAACCAGCACCTTGATCATCGGAGAGACAAGATATGTCATGGTCCTGTAAATGGACGAGAAGTGAGCAAAGGAATGGGCTGACTTACTGCTGTCAGATTTGTAAAGGTTTCACAGGTCCAGAGCACGGCTTTGGTTCAGAGTGAGGAAGAAATTTAGGAGCCTGAAGGTTCCATAAATTACTAAGCAAGGTGAAGCATGGCAGTAGCGAAGGGCGGTAGCAGCAGCAGAACTTACAGTGCAGTAGAGCTGGCTTCGTTCGGAAGCCCCTGACAAAGGAGGAGTAACAATGGCATAGGGGCATGTGACGGGTCCAAAGGGAAGAACATGAGTGTCAGTGGAAAGGAGTGATGGGTAGGCTAGTGTCTGAAAGTACAGACACCATTCAAAGAAATCTCTTCAGAAGTGGTCCCAACTTGTCAATAGTGGATTTAATGCTGGCATTCGCTTCAGATATGAAAACACACTGTTTCCTAACCCTCTCTTTTATGATCATAGCTCGAGTTTAGCAGAATGGAGCATTGGTAAAAGAGTATAACATCCTAGCCACAGTTCCATATCTAGACTGTATCTGAAATGTCTGGAAACCATTGTAAGTTAGTGGTAATGGGCAGATGCAAATGACTTTTAGCTGGATGGGTGTGCTTTCTGATTATCAAAAGAATTATCACCATAATTTTAACATTAATTAATACCGGTGTTGATAACATGAACAGAGAGAGCAAAGGGTTTTCAAGCATTAAAATTTCAAATTATTTATTCTGGAATCATTTCTATCCTTAAGGGTAGCATATTAATATTTAGTTTAGAAAGGCAAAACACATCAGATTTTCATGATTTTAAAGAAAGAAACAGTTTGTTGCCTTTATGAAAAATACAAATATATATTTTAGCGTGCCTTTGCTTATTTCACTCAGCAGTACCTCTCAATTTTTTTAAAAAAAATTAACAAGAAGGATATAACAATATACCAAAGAAAATTTGAATATCAGCTGTTTTCCCCTTTGTGAAATTCGGTAGTCTTTTCCTGTCTGCCAGTTGGATTGATCTTTAGGTTTGTGTTTAATTAACATCTTCCTCTTCACCCATAGTAGTTATTCCCTGTTTCTCTGTAGTGTTTCTCACAGATAGATCTCCTTCCATTCCTTCTGAGAAACCAAACCAAAACAAAAAAAGCTGTTTCAATAACTTTTGCACTGATTTTCCTGTATCCACCTTTCCAAACCATTCAGCAATTTAGGAATACTATTTATATTATATCTCTACTAAAAAACTTCTAGTGCTTTCCTGTTGTGTATGGGATTACATTCACATTCATTAGCCTGGTGTTCAAATTCTTCAGAAAACTGGCCCCATCTAGTCTTTCCAATTTTTCTCCTCTTTCTACCCACCAGAAACCCCCAACTTCAGCCAAATCAATCAATTCCATAGACCCTGAATGTGCTTATCCCAGCTCAGCCCTCTTTCTCCCACTCTTCCTTAACCAAACCCTGCCGCCAGTCTAGAATTAGATTACACATTTTGTCACACGAGCACAGCGGTGCCAAGAAGGGGAGTTAATTTTCTCTGTAATCTAATCTTCCTCATGAGCGCACTCTCAGGAACTGCCAGGTCACTTTGTCCCCACCCCTCTGGTTCGGAGGGAACTGCCCAGTCCTTTTTATCCCACAAGAATCAAAAGAGGCCCCAGCTTTCATCTGAATCATCAGGACCCTGTTACAACAGCGCCTCCATGACAGAATCTGAAGTAGGGCAGAAGCCTTGCTCCCCGGGCACCCTCCTGAACTCCAGGCTGCGCCTCTAGCAGCCTGTCTTCCTGCCTCCATCTTTCTTTTCACTGTAGTCTACAGGCACGGGAAACATGGGCTTTCGCGCTTCTTTCTGTCTGCCTAGGACCTTCCTTATGTAAAACGTTTTTATTAAAACCTGCCCTTTGCTACATTGAAGGAGGCAATATGTTTATTTAGAAAATGTATTCGTTGTACATGTTACAGTAGATTGACTGTATAAATGGGCCCAATAAATGGGCTTCCTAGATCCATACCCTTTGCCCTTTATCTGTGCTGTCCTTCAGAACTTTGGGCTTCACCCTGTAACTTAGTCTGTCCCCAGGGACAGTAGCAACCGTGGTGGTATCAGCAGAGGCTTGCAGAAGCACTCATGCTTTTCCACTTTCTCTCTTGCTCTGCCTTTGTCCTAAGGACACGTAAGGGCTCGACCGCTAGAGGAGCAGGACTGCATCAGTCCAGTTGTCCTGGCCAAGGTCACAGACACGAGTGACCCGGACAAAATAAACAAAGCCAACCAGCCCACTGGTAACCGACCCAGACCTATGAGTGGGTCATGCAGAGCCCCAATCAGGTCAGCAGAACTGCTTCGTCACCTGTAGGTTGATGAAAAATAATAAATGATATTTGTTTTAAGGCACTAAGTTTTAGGATGATGTTAACAGCAAAGGATACTGTGTACTGTTGTCTCCCCACCCCCCCTTCTATTATATTAATACATCAGATGCACAGAATTAATCATGCTCTGTGCCACACATGTATAAATGATCACACATTTGTATATGTGGAATCTTTAGAATATGCCTTCCTCTCTCTCTCTCTCTCTCTCTCTCTCTCTCTCTCTCTCTCTCTCTCTCTCTCTCTCTCTATATATATATATATATATATATATACACGTACACTATAATTCTGTTTTGTTAAAATGGGCATGATTTTCAGATTCTTGTTACTTCAGACAGTGCTACCGTGAGTATCTTGGGTATGTCTAGGTACATATGTGCATATTCTCTGGAGTGTGTACCTAAGAGTGATTGCTGAATTGATGAGAATGAAAGTGTATCTTTTCAAGATAATACTAAGCTTTTGCAAGTTTTTTTCTTTTTAATATTTCTTATTTATTTATTTATTTATTTATTTTTAATTGGGGAACAGCCATGGTCATTGGTTACATGTTGCTTTCATGCTACAATAGCATAATTGACTCTTTTAGGGAGGGTGCAGCTCACAGTGGCCCACCTGGGGATCGAACTGGCAACCTAGGTGTTATCAGCACCACGCTCTAACCAACTGAGCTAACTGGTCACCCCCAGCTTTTGCAAGTTTTACCAGTAGTTTTACCAAATACATTTCCTTCAGCTGTATGTGAGATCTTCTTGTCCTCTATTATGTCTTTTGTCACATACTACCTCCTTTGGATACTTAGATTTTCTTATGTGTGTGTCTTACATTTACAGCTAAAGCCTTCTGAAGATGGGACTCTTGACTCTTACTTCATTACTTTGCCCATAAACTTCAGAACACGATGGATACAGTTTAGATATTGATTGATAATTGACGGATTTACTTTACATATAAGAGTTGGTATGAAAATTCGTTGCTATCCCTCATCTTTCCACCTCAGCTAACTCAGGTGTCCTGTGCTCCCCAATTCCCTGAACACGCTCTGCTGTAGAATTATAACCACCCACACTCTTGTTTGTCTCTCCAGCTAAGATTAACTCTTTGTAGACTGGAGCTGATTATTCAGCATTGCTCAACCAGGCACTGAATACAAACCCTGCTTCATTAAATTAGTCATTTGATGCTAACTTATTGATCACCATGTGCCAGACTCTTTAAATGAAAAAATGAATGAATGGGTGACATTTGCTATAAAAATAGTGATGCTTAAAAAGAGACATTAATCAGCACTAGAAATACACTAGTTACAGTGGAGCTAATTACTTCCACCACTGAAATAGAACAGCTGTTAACCTAATAGCATAGGCTAGAAAATGTAGAAAACTGTAAAATGGAAAACAATCTAAGCTGGCAAAATAGAATCATACATACAAAATGTAATGCACTATCAAATACTCAATTGCTTCTTCCATGACTTTGATATCCTAGTTGAAAAGATATCATAAATAAGTGGTTCACATGGTTAAGAGCTCACTCAAGAGTTTGAGCTCTGAGCAACAGCGGTTCGATTCCAGGCCCAAGCTGAGCAGCCACTGAGCTGCCAACAGGTGGCAGGATGGCTCAGCTTAAAAAAACAAAAGAAAACAAACAAACAAACAAAACAAAAATAAGTGGTTCACAGAATCTATTGTAACTGATGGCTTGAAACTGTTTCCAAAAGCCAGAATTGAAAAACAATTTTAAAAATAGACAATTTTGTTTCTTTTACTTTTTTACTCTTTTTCAAAGATGTTACATGCACAAAAGTGTTGCCCAAGTCAGTTGAGTATAATTTTCATTGGTCACTCTGGTCAATGAATGCACAAGGATATAATGATTATTTGAGAACAGTATATGTCAAGTGGAAAATATTGTCCCTATAAGTAGTGATTGTGAGAACTATATATATTTATGAGTATTCATTAAACTAAACAAATATGGCATGTATTTAAGAAGGATGTGAGGGCTCAACTCCTCTTATAAAATGTGAAAAACTATAGGAGGAAAGCTTATCAAACCCAGGTGATCAGATAGGTTTCTAGACTAAGGTAGACTATGATGACCAAAGTAGAAGAGATTACTGGGTGAAGGAAGTCAAAAGGCACAAAAGGTACAAACTTTCAGTTATACAATAAGCCATGGGGATGTCACGTACAGCATGATGACTTTCGTGAATAATATTGTATTACATATTTTAAAGAGTAGGTCTTCAAAGTCCTCATCACAAGACAAAGTAATACGGTAACTACGGTGATGGATGTTAACTGGACTTATCGCAGTGATCATTTTGCAATATATACCAATAGCAAATCATCCTGTATACCTGAAACTAATGTAATGCTGTATGTCAATTATACCTCAACATTTTTAAATGACTAAGGGTTGGACCTGAGATGAGTAAAACATCTCCAATGAAACAGGAAAGTAATGTTACAGTTGCAAATACTGCAGAGAACATGGATAAAGTTATCAAGCCCTGCAATACCTCTTTTTTGCTTTGGACACAAATATACCTTTTTTATTCAAAGGAAAACGAGTTCCC